GATGTCGTTTTCGGTAACTAAAGTTGATCTGAATATTGTTATTTGAGTGTGTTTTTTCTTCTTTTTGTTAGCTAATATTTGCTGTTTGATTGCTATTTTTCAATGCTCATCTCGTATTGGTTTTCTAATTTTGTATCCTTCCTTTTGTTAGCTTATCCGTGATGTTTAGGTGACGAACTCGAGACAGTTTTGCCGTCGTTGACATTAACTAAAGCTGCTCTGTTTGATTCTTTATAGTTTTAATTATTTTCTTTTTGTTAAATGATTTTTTTTTGTTTGATTTTTTTTTGCCAATCTCATCTCATGTTATATCTCACTTGCATTTAGTTCTTGCACTGGAACAATGAAATATCTGCTTTATATTCTTGTTTCCAGCCTGGATTATATAAACCATCAAATAGTATGTTCAATTGATAACCTTCTTGTGATGTTCAGACGAAGAGCTGGAGACAGTTATGCCGTCGTTGAAAATATTCGAAGCTGAGCCGTATAAGTTTTTTCAGATTTACCTTTTATGATATTTTGTCATCGATGTTGCTGTTCGTTTTCAGTTTTTTATGTTCCCTCATGATGTTTAGATGTTGTACAGAAATGTTATCTATCATTGACAATAGTTAAGTCTGATCTATATACGTTTGTCTAATTTGAGTTGTTAGTCTTTCCTGCTATGCGTTTTGTGACTGGATTAGCCGTATAAGTGTACTGATAGTTTTTTGCCTAATGTTCCAGGCTGGTCTTGCATGCTGCTTTTCAAGAAACTTTTCTGCTCAATTGATAGCTTTTTAGCTTTTAGGTGATGTTTAGGTGACGAGCTGGAGACAGTTTGTCTGTCGTTGACATTAATTAAAGCTGTTCCTTCAATTTTTCGGATTTCAATTGTTCGCTTTTTTTACAGAATGTTTTTTAAAAATTTTCACACCTCATGATGTTTAGATGACGAGCTGTAGAATATTTATCTGCCTCTGACAATAGTTTATGCTGATCTATGTACGTTTGTCTATTTTGAGTTGTTCGTCTTTGTCTTCTGTATTGCGTTTCGTGACTGGTTGATCCCTTTTAGTGTTTTGATAGTTTTCTTGTCTTATTTTTCAGACTGAACTTCCATGATGCGTTTAGAAAAACTTATCTGTTTAATTCATAGCTTTCACGTGATGTTAAAATGACGAGCTTGAGACTGTTTTTCATAGTTGAAAATGATTCAAGTCGATTTTTCTAATGTTTTTGTTCTCAATTGTTTGCCAATTTTCCCTGAATACTGCTGTTCGATTTGAGTTATTTTCTTCCTGATCCAAATTGTTTTCTGATTTTTTAAACATAGTTTTGCGGTATGATATTAACTTCAGTGTTGTTCTCATACTGGTTTTCAAAAGGTTTATCTTTTCAATTGATTGCTTTTACGTGATGTTTAGGTGACGAGCTTGAGACTATTTTTCACAGTCGAAATTGATTCAAGTTGATCTTTTTAAATGATTTTATTTTCAATTGTTTGCTAATTTTTTTCCTAAATACTGCTGTTCGATTTTGAAATTGGTTCAAAGCATGTCTCATGAAGTAGTTTTCTGTCCAATTGGTCTTGTTCAAGTGATTTTTAGATGTCAAGCTGATCACTCTTTTGCTATCGTTGACAAAGTTTGAAAGTGATATGTGCAAGTTTATCTGCTTCAACTTGGAGGCTGCTTTATTCCTGGATTGAGTTTTTTTAGTGGGTCTAATTTGGTTTGCATACTGCTTGTCAAAAAAATATCCTGTAAGTTAATTGTTTTCACGGGATGTTCAGATGACAAGGTGGAGAGAGTTTTATGTCGTTGGCACTAATTAAAGCTAATCGGTTTAACTTTGCATGATTTCAATTGTTTGCTATTTTTTCCTGAATGTATTTTAGAAATTTTGTTCCATGTTTGTCTTATGATAATTAGATGACGAATTAGAGAATTTTTTGTTCCTCTGTGTACGTTTGTCTAATTTGAGTTCGTCTTTCCTGCCGAGCGTTTTGTGACTGGATGATCCGTGTAATTGTTCTGATAGTTTCTTGCCTTAACTTTCAGGCTAGGCTTGCAACCTGGTTTTCACGCAACATTTTTGCTCAGCTGATAGCTTTCAACGTGATTTTAGATGACGAGCTAGAAGACCTTTTTTGATGTCGTTGATAAATTATAAAAGTAATCGATTTAACTTAATAAGCTTGATTTTGGGGGCTGCTTTATTCCTGGATTGAGTTTTATTGCTGGATTGTCAGTATAAAAGTTAAAGTTCTGATAGTTTTATACTTCATTTTTCTACCTTGGTTTTCATGCTGCTTTTCATATATTTTTTTTCTGTTAATGGCTGGCACGGGATGCTAAGATAGATAATGAGGTAGAGACATTTTTTTCGTCGTTGTCGCTAATTAAAGCTGATCGATATAGTTTTGTATGATTTTAAATAATTTCGATTCTTTTCCTGAATTTGGTTTTTTTTTTTCAATGCCCATCTGATACTCTTTTTCAAATACAGTTAATTTTTCAGTTTGTAGCTTCACGTGATGTTTAGATGCGGAGACAGAGAAAGTTTTGCTGTTGTTGACAATAATTAAAGCTGATCTGTATGTTTTAATATGAGTTCAATTGTTTTTTTTCCGAATTTTTGTTGTTTGATTTCAATTTTTCAATATCCATTTCCTTTCCTCATTTAATGTTCTAATTGCATTCAGTCCTTGTTTCAAGACATTCAAACACGTTCTTTATAATTTGAGCATCTTTTTTCCAGCCTGGATTTCAGAATTTGTAAAATTAACATCTTTTCAATTGATAGCTTTACTGTGAGGTTTAGGTGAAAGAGTTTGGCTGTCTTTGACAAAATAAAAGTGATCTGTGTAAGTTAAAATGCATTAAATTGTACGCTGATTTTTCTGGGTTCGTTTACTTTGATTGATTATCGGAATAAAAAGTTGATGCTCTGATAGTTCCATACTTATATTTTCTCGCTTGGTTTACTTTCTGCTTTTCAAAAAAATTGATAGCTTTTGATAAATTTTCAATTTATAGCTTTTACGTAACGTTTAGATGACAGTTCTGATCTCGTTGACACTAATTAAAGCAGCTTGTTCTTTCCATCTGATTTCATTTGTTTTTGATTTTTTACCTAAATTTTGCTGCTTTTTTAACTTTGCAAGGCCCTTCACATTCTTCCTTTGGAAAGATGGTTGTTTTCAGCTGCTAGTTTTGACGGGATTTTTAGATGATGAGATTGACAAAATTTTGCTGTCGTTGACAAAACTTATAGCTGATCTGTATATTTTTTGTATGATTTCAATAGTTTTCTTCCTGAATTTTGCTGTTTAATTGCAACTTTTCAATGCCCATCTCATTTCATTGTCTTATTTCTTAATTGCATTTAGTCATTGTAGTAAATATTCCCACAAGTACTTCAAAATTTGAACTTCTTGTTTAACCTGCATAACATAAATTTTCAAGAATAGCATCTGTTCAAATGATAGCTTTACCGTGACATTTAGAGGACGAATAAAATTTGATCTGCGATTGTTTCATACTTCATTTTTCTAGCTTGGGTTACACAATTCTTTTCCAACTGATAGCTTTTACCTGATGTTTAAATGAGGAGCTGGTGACAGCTCTGCTGTAGTTGAAACTAATTAAAGCTGATCGGTATTTTTAATCTGATTTATATTATCTCGTTTTTTAAACCTGATTTTTGCTGTTTGTTTTCAACTTTGCTTGCCGATCATAAAAAAGTTATCCTTTCAGTTGATCGCTTTCACGTGGTGATAAGATGAAGAGCTGGCGACAGTTATACTATCGGTGACAAAACTAAAACTGATCTGTGTAAGTATCTGCTTGAAATTTGTAGCTGCTTATTTCCAGGGTTGAGTTTTGTCTGATTTACCGGTTGTTAAATTATTGCTTTGGTAGTTTCATACTTTAATATTAAATCTTGGTTTTAATAATGCTTTTCAAAAAAAGCTAACCCTTTCATATGATAGTTGTTCCTTTGATGTTAAGATGACGACCAAGAGACAATAATTTGAAGCTGCTTTAAGTTATTACCTGAATTTTGGCGTTTATTGCTAACTCATGCTGCTTTTCAAAGAAAGGTTATTTTTTCAGTTGATAAGTATCACGTGATATTTAGATGACGAGATGGAGAAAGTTTTGCTGTCGCTGAAAATAATTAAACCGGATCTGGATTTTTTAATATGATTTCAATTGTTTGCTTCTTACTTTGAATGTTGTTGTCTGATTTGGTCCCCCTTTCTTCTAATTTTGAGATACAAATATCTATTTTTGGCGAGGTACACTAAAGTTTTTCTAAAGGCGCCAATAAATACTAATATTTGAGGGGGAAGCGCGCTCCAAAAAAACGCAACTTTTTAGTCAAAATTTTCCAAAAAGTGACTGAAAACGCCTTTTTTGGCCTGTTTTTTTTTTACAAATTTGCCTACGGCGCAGAAAATTTTGTCAAAATAGGGTCTTTGTATTGATTTGCGAGAGAAAATCAATTTGGTTGAAGTTAAAAAAAAGGTCGATAAAATTTTCAAAATTTTTTTGAAAATCCGCCCCCCTCACTCGAAAAATTCCTAGATCTGCGCCTGAGCTTTGCTGCCATTGATAATAATTATAGCTGATATCCTTAGATTTCTTATTTTTTAGATGACCATACTGGGTTGAATGAATTTTGTTGTTTGTGATTTGCGGGGTTTATCCACAGATGTTATCCACTGCTGCAAGTGTCAAGTAGTGGAAAATAAACAGAATGAAAAAAATACCAGTTATGATAAACAACGATGAACTAATAATAAGTAATTAAGTCGCGTTGTGTCGTTAGAAGCAGTCAGAAATTGTTTTATCAGTGAGAAAATTGGAGTGTTATCTGTTAAAAAACAATCTCGAGTCATAAATTCAAGCCATAGATATTTAAAAGGAAAGGTGAAGGTTCTATACATAACTCTTGTATGTCTAACATATCAATTCTTTGAAGTCAGATTGTTTGATTGTACATTTTAGTGGCTTGTGCAGAATAGAGCAGCTTTGTTTGCAGTGAACAATGAGAGGAAGACGCCCCTGGATTTGGGGAGGGAGAAAGGTCACTCGGACATAGTAGAGTACATTATATCACACAAGTTTCACCAGCCCAAGTTCACTCTCGACCAGTTCATGCATCCAGAATTGTCACGATATGTGAGTTTTGTCCGAGTTAGAGAAGTCTCGTCTACTTAACAATCTCACACCTCTTCTCCTCCCACCAATCCCCCCCCCCCCCCCCCCCCCCTGGTATCCACTAAAGAATTTCCTCCACCTCTGTTAATAAAAGCAGTAAATTAGCTCTAGAGCGTTCTATTGAAAATTCTGGTTGGTGGAAAGTTCGCTGATTTACTATACTTAATAATCTCTCTCCCTTTCTTGAAAGGCTGGAAAGGTTGTTAAGTTGACGCGAGAGGTCTCAAAAATTATGATGTTTTTCTATTATTCGACGATGCATCAACTGATACAGATTTGTTTGGTTTGTATTGAAAAATTCCAAATAAATGTCATTCAGTACCAAATCAGTACTTTTTAAACCCCTGGTCTTACTCAATGTAGAGCCAACCGATGGGGGGAGGAGTACTGTCATCTATTTTGCCGTAGCCGGTCCCACCTTGAGGATGCGGATGACACAAGGACCTCTCCAACAGTGACGGAATCAGTATCGTTTATAGAGATAGGATGCTTTTGCTAAGTGTGCAAACTGAACTATATTATTGTTTTGAGAACTGGAAATGACTGATTTATTGTCTTACTGTCTTTAAGTAATTTTTGTAATTTTCAGCAAGCCCACGACATTCTGAAGGACCACGGGAGTGAAGATGGAATGTTTCTGGTTCGTGGCAGCAAGAGGTGTCTGGGACCAGTTTTGTCCCTGATGTCGAAGAACCACCTGCTCAACTACGAAATACAGAAACGACTGTTCCAAATTGGAGAGAAGGTAGTTGACCAGTTTGGCTACTTTTATTCAAGAGTGAAATAACCAAATTTTCGGAACTCACTTCTAAATAATGTTACATGATGAAACACTTTCAACCAATTGATGTGATTTTATGATGGTCTATGTTTTTTTCTGTCATTTTGTTGTTCTTTTGTGGCAGGAAGTGGAGATGTTTGCCATAGACGACAGTCCATTTTCCCCCTCCCTGGAACTACTGGTGGACTACTTCTCTTGTGAGAAGAGCATGGCCTCTTTCAAACTCAGCAAACCAGTTGGGCCCATACTCAGAGAGCCCCTCACCATCGATACCTCAAATGGTGCACAGACGGAGATGCTGAAAAGCGAGGAAACAGGGGCAGGCGATAATCTGATGGCACAGAATGCTGTGCTTATTGCGCCTGATGAACTCATATTCGGTAAGAAGACTGTTCGAAACATAAATTAGCTTTAAAAATATTTTTAACTTCTCAAAGCATGATAGTTGAAAAATTCAAACATCCGTGAAAAATTGAGTTGTTTGGCTTCCGTTTGTCTGCGTTATGTTTTCTCGGCTTAGTTGTCACATTACGAATTTTTGTTCTGGTTTACGCAGTTTTCATTGTAGTTGCAATTGTTGTTGATTTACTCCTGTAATTTGTAAATTTACTAGATTCGACTTAATTTATTTTCCTTATTTTGTTTTTTTTCTGCTCAAAAATCTTCGGCTTATATGTTGTCGGATTAATCAACGTATTATGTGGCGGCATTTGAAAGACAAAAATAGATTATTAGTTTAATAAATACTTTAGTGTAAAAGTTTGAAGTTCTAAATTTTAATCGCTCAAAAAAATTTCGATAATCTTCCATGGTTGTTTCTCGGCTGATTTTCTGAAATTGAAGTTTTGATAATTTCCAAATAAGAACCTTTCAGTTTTTTTCGACTTGTTTGTTTCCATCTCTATTCTGTTCGGCTAACTTGCAATGCTACAATAGCGTTTTATTGTAATGTTTCTTACTCACCGTTTGAGAAGCCGCAAGAGATAAGGGTATGTTTCTAGGAGAGCGGCTGTGGCCGAGAAGGTAAGACGCGAGGCCTTAAAAACGGAGGCCGTGGGTTTGAGTCCCACTTCGGTCACTATTAGAGGGTTCCAGTGTCATACGCCTCTTCAAAGTGCGACCGTCTACGGTAAAATGGTTGAAATCGAACTCCCCCTCGAAATCAAGGTTCATGATAGTAAAGCGGTAGTAGGGCCGGGGCAAATAGAGAAGGGGGATTTTTCCGCTATACCGACCCCGCATTTTAATTTAGCTTGCTAAGATAAAATGAAAGATTGTAGAACATAACCTCAACTGCAGGAATATAACGGATAAGTGTCAAGATTAAGCATAGTTATTGCTTTAAAGCTCAAAAGTAGAATGCGTAAACTGCTTTCGGAACTGAGACTATATTTGTTCTGGTTTCCAGGAAGAACACTTGGCCAGGGTGCCTATGGAGAGGTGGTTGAGGCCATGTGGACCAGAAAGGGATCTCTGTCGCCCTCCTTCAACCAAGGAGACACCATGACAGCTGCTTCCTCCGCCTGCAGTCCAGCGAGTGAACATGTAGCAGTGAAGAAGATAATGGCGATGAAAGACTCCAACTGCCAGATCGATTTCCTCTCTGAAGTGAGGGCTCTCTTCAACATACACCACCCGGGCATAGTGAAACTCATTGGGATCTCATTTGGACCGCCTGTCATGCTGGTAAGTAGCTTAAACTGCTTCCATATTAAATGACACATTATCCTTTAGTGACTTCTAATTTCCAGGTCGGAGGTTCGATTCAGGCTTATAGCAAAGTTTTTTTTTGCACGACAAAACTGATTTTTAGAATTTTTCCTAATTTTGTTTTGTTTTTGGCTTTCTAGAGCTATTTCTTACAGTTTTCTCGATTTTGTTTGCGAAGTGCTTTTTCGCTACCTTTTAATTTGGTGACACTTAAATTTTTATTTGGCGGTTTGGTTTGACTAATGATTTCTTCTTAAATTCAATTCAAGTTGCAAATGCCAAAAAATAATGAAGCTTCTGTTTGGTTTTCAAAACTGGTTTACATGCGGTATTAAAAAATTACCTATTCATTCATTATTCGCAAGTTGGGTTAATTTTATCAAATTTTTTTGAAGGTTTTTTTTTCTGAAAGATTTTCAACGAAAAACTTCATTTTTTAAGTTGAGTTGAGTATCGGTTTTGCAGATGTGACTTGTAAATTTAGTGGATTGTTTGGTGCAGATAACTGAGTTGGTGTGTGGAGGCAGTCTGCTGGACTTCCTGATAGACAGTGGGGACACTGTGACTCTGCAGCAGATGGTGGCCTGGAGTGCCCAGATAGCCAGACCCATGGCATACTTGGAGGCCAGGAAACTTATACACAGAGACCTCGCAGCACGCAATATACTCCTCAAGTCCTACAAAATGGTAAGGAATTGTTGCTTCAACCAATGCTTTCCAATCGGTTCAAGTTCCTAGTTTTTTCTCTGTTAAGCATCGAAAGACTAAAATATTCGAAATCTTATTGCGACCTACGTAACAAAATAAAATTGATCATTCTGTGAATTCTGACGAAAAAATCTTGGGAAAAAAATGAACAACAGAGATTTTTTTTGCCACTATGTGAGTGTTCTGGTTTTCTTTACGAGAAGTAGATTCATGTTTCTAAAGCGATCTGCAAGATAATGTTCATATTGCCGTGTGTTGCAGTGCAAGCTGTGTGACTTTGGACTGAGTCGGATGGTGGGGGAGGGGAAGGAGTACTACGTGGCCACTAAGGGGGGCAAGTGGCCCCTGAGGTGGTACGCGCCAGAGAGTGTCAACCGGTGGCACTTCTCCTCTGCCTCTGACGTCTGGTCTTTCGCAGTCACCATGCACGAGATATTCTCATATGGACAGCAACCTTATGGAGATCTATCTTGGCAACAGGTAAGCTATCTCATCAAGTATCTTTCGTAACTTTAATACAAAAAGCCTAAAACTTCGATTGAACAGGAAACTTCTTATTGAATTGAGATCCTTAACAAATTTTGCTTGAGGGCGACTATTGGTAATAAGGTTAATGTTGGATTGTTTAGCAGGAATATTAGTTTTGTCTAAATTGAAGAACACAACAATTGAGTTTTGTAGTTGACGGATGTATGAGATGCTGTGTTTTTCTATGATTAGCTTTGTTTACAGGTGTTTGACCTGATAGACGAAGGTCAGCGTCTCTCCCAGCCGGCTGGGTGCCCGGACGCCATCTACCAGATCATGATGTCCTGTTGGGAATATCAGCCGGCCGACCGACCCACCTTCGCCGAACTCACCAATCTATTCATGTCGCCCCAATTTCTAGCTGCATTCTCAATACCTGCCAAAGCAATCACAGACCCTCTTTCTTCTACACACCCCGGCGGCGGAAAAAGTATCCCGGGATCGCCGGTTAAAAAAGTTACAATATGTGCCAATAAACCAGATACCACAAGCAATGAAAATGTGCAACAAAGCAGCCTTAATAATAATAATAGCAACAGTAGTCAGCTGCAAATGACTGGTTCAGGATACACGACTGGAAGTAGCAGTGGATACGGTTCTCTAGTCAAGTATGTCGAGACTTCTTCCAAGATGGTCGAGGTGGAAGTTTACGAACCCCAAACCAGAGAAGCGAAGGTTGTTAATATTAGCGAGGAAGTCTCAAATGGCAATGAAAAGACAGAAAAAGAACCAACTGATGCTATCAAGCCCCCAGATAAACTAGTAGTTAAAGACTCTATGCTGAAAATAAAGCGACCTTCAAAGATTGTTTAGTCTCTCTTTAATGTACACTTCTTCGTTATTTAACTTAAACTTGACGCAACAATTGTGAACTTAAATTTATGTTTCAGTATGAGTAGATAGATCGAGTGAATTTAGTTAGTTGCTCTGAGTTTTGAATTGACACTCTTTCGCGTTTTATGTTTTAGCTAGATGAAATTTTTTTTTAGCTGAGAGTTTCAAATTTTATCGTGATATTTGATGTTCTCGACACACTGTTGAGAATATCTCTACGCAAAGCCAGGCATCTGCATGATGATGTGTGTTCATCATTCATCTAAGAAGTTTAAGCTACCAGAAGCTCAAGTAACTACCTTTTGGTCGTGATTTGGATTCTAGTGAGTGTGCATCGTATAAAAACGCTCTGGGTCGTGATTTGCAATCAAAAAGTTCTCTTTGTCGAGAATAACTGGTCTGCATTTTTTTTTCGTTAGAGTTTGATATAGTTGATATATATATATTTTTGTTTTGTTTTTTTTTGAGAGAAAGTCTTAAAATTTGTTCGGGCTCAAATGTAGCTTTTCGCGGTTAGACTTTGATTAAGTCAATCATAAATTTTTCTAGAATTACAAAGACCGTATTTTAAATGAAATTCGGACGTTGAGAATTTTTAAAAAAATGAAAGTCTTTTTTTTTCTGTTTACCTGCATGCATTGACTCGTTTCCAACTGTCTGTTGGCTATGATTTTGTTTTTCATTTGATGAGAGACTGAATTTGTAATTGAAACGCTAATGACACTTGCGTATTTAAATGAGCGTTAAGTACGTATACGACTATTTTTTCCAACCTGAATTGCAAATTTCGGTGCCTCGACTTTTTGATAACATAAGCTCTAACATCCGATTAGTAATAAGTTAAAACAGTTGATGCCATGTTCAATCATCAAATGAACCGAAAAAAGTAATTTGTTTTAAACAACAGCACAATAAAAAAAACTCGATATCAGAAATTTTTCAACCAAACCTATAGTTTTTTCGAATTGCGTATTTATGCATAATTTGGCTATATGCTTTCTAATTTTTAAATGCTAAGTTAGTATAGATGCCTTCAGTTTGGCTTAATCCAAATTATTACATTCAAAGTAGTGTCTATTTGTATTTGGTGGCATTTTTGCTGCATGGCAATGTCAATTTATTAGCATATTTATCTGCTGTGGGTGGCTTGTGTTAGTTATTTTTTCTGTGCAACTTGATCAGCAATGGGTTATTCTTAGTCTTATATGCGCAAAAAAAGTTGTCTGTACGAAATCTGCCTTTAGGTTTCACATTTGTCTGTTTATTCTTCGTCGGTTTTTTCCGAAGCGGTATGTGTTTTATTCGAAGCATCTCTGATTCAAGAATTTCTGAGTTTGTGTAGTTTCCCTTTTATTTCATCTTTCTGTTTCAATGTTTTCGGTTTAATTTTTTTTTGGCTTAATCTAATCATTTTGCGTCATTTGAATTACCAAAATATTAAGTGAAGTCAGGAAATGGCTCAAAAAGTTTGACTTCGGAAACATTATAGCTCAAATTTATTTTTGGCTTAAATGGCGTCTACCTAATTATCTTTGGTTTTCTGCCGCCAAACAATTAGTGGAAATGCTTATTTTTTGCTGTTTAATGGCTTTCACGACAGTTTTCAATGGTCTTTAATGATGCTCAAAATGTACATCAAGTGAGACAAACCTGAAAATTTTTGTAGATCCAGTTCTTCAAAAACAATTTTAAAAATTATTTCTATATCGAAATGGTTTTGTTCTCAGTTCTGTCTGGTAACTATAATGCAATGTTTTTTGTATCAAAAAAAATATCACTAGTGCTAAAATCATTTAGAAAGCAAGTAGCAAAAACGTCGTTTCCGCTCAAAATTTTTTGTATTTGCTGAATAAATTTTTATTTTCCTTTAAAGCGAACTTTCCAATTGGAAAACAAATGAAAAATTTGCAAATGTCGCAAATAAACGCGATTGAAGTTTGTTTTTGTTAGAAAATTGCATTTTATTTTCTCAATTTGCTCTTTTTCAGTCACGCCTTGTTTTTTATTAAAATTGCATTACGATGCTAAACTGTGCGTTTTGTGAATTGTAAGCGGATTCCGCATCAAGGACGCTCCTTTTGATCTTATTTTGTTCTTTTATTTTCTTTGAATGTTCAGGCAAAACTTTAACATGCGCCGACCCAGTGCAAAACAAAGTGATTACTTAACAGCTGAAAAGATTCGGCGGGTCATTATTTCAGACTAGAACTGATAGCCGGTTGCTGTGCAAGTAGCACAGAATGTTCCGACCATCTTCTTGAAAACTGTTTTTTTTTCTAAATGACTGACTTTTTTGTGCCTGGTGCGATGAAACTATTCGAAAAAAACCTAGATTTCAGACATTTACAAATGTCATAACGGACAAAATGTTCTTCAAAAATTACTAATAAAAAATCATAATAAAAACTGCAAAAATTTTATGTTTATTTCATTTTTTTTTGAAATTTTGAAATTTAAAATAAATTGACAATCTTCAATCTTGTTTTTTGAGAAAATTTACATAATTTTTTTTCAATGTTTAACGGTTGTTTATTTTCAAATCAATTTTGTGAAATTTTTGGCAAAATATTCTGAAACAACTCAAACCTTGAGCTATTAAATACAATGGTATTGTCAGTGAGAAACAATTAGTGCCGAAACTAGATGGTAGCCGATGTAAACCATTGTTGTTAATAGGTGAAAGAAGGTAGGACCCTGCAGTACATCAATATTTTAGGCAAATTATCAGATATCTGATTGTTTTTTATTATGGAACTCTAAGTTTATCTTTTTGATGTTTTGGAAATTGGATAGCCATAAATGGGTTTTTTGTTACTCGGCCCAAAATTATCAATTTGTTGATTGAGCTTCTCTTTTTCACTGGTCTTTTTTAGCCGAAAGTAAAATCAACCAATTTTCAAATGATGATTATCAGTTTTATCCGAATATAAATAAAGACCTATATAAAGCTTTAACCTGTTTATTGAATGCAGAATGATATCCATAGCTTAATTTCAGACATATCAACTCATTCAAGGTTTTGGTAATTTTGAGCCGCAGATCAGAGAAAAAAATGGAAAGATTTTGATTGGTCGGTTTTCTTATGTTCACCCCATTTCAAATTGAATATTACTCCAAGTCATGCTTCGTGCCTCAAAACAGGAGTTCTGTTTTCCTTCAAAAAACCTAGGAGCTTGAATTTTTGCCGCTCAGCGAAATTATGATGGAACAAGTTTTTCATACTTTTTATGAAGACACCGATAAAGACATGGACGCACAGCCTGCATTTGACGTGGGCCAACACATACTGGATCTAACCCAAACAATTAGAACGGACTGCTCTTGTACACGACAACCAGATTGCGAGATGAAGTCAAGAGACCAATGCCACAGATGTAGCGAGTGACATTCTCGATGATAAAACGCCAGTGCAACATGAAAACGAAGCGAAGTGATTTTATTTTTATTGCTCTCTTTCTCTCTCTTTATTATCAATCGAGTTTAGCCAACTGTCACAATGTGTCAACCATGTTAAATTTTTCTGAATTTAATTATTTCTATCTATGAATGCGATGCTATATATGTGTAATTTTGGCAAGAAGCTGCTAAAATTGAGAACATGTGAACGAAAACTAAATTTATCCCTAGTGACATTTTCTGTTTCTTTTGTATACTTTTTCCACATAACAACTACAAATACCAACTAAAGCTTGGGTAAATTACAACTAACATCAGTCTCACTAAAATTTTCATTAAACATCTCTTGCCTTGCACCGATCCACAACAAAAACCTTTCTTAATCTGGTTCCTACTTCTTATTCCACTCAAATTGTAATTCTTAAAATAGGAAAACAGAAAATCAAATGATCAAATCTGATTGATTGAAAGTAAAAACAATCACAGTGTCTATTTTGGTCAAATCGTTCAATTTGAAAATGATTTGCTGTTGAGTTGTTTTGGTAGAATAAAAAAAAGACCTTCGATCTTTTTAACTGTTTTCCCCCTATTCCAAGGGGGCATTAGATTATGTTACAATGGGATCTACTCAACAATTGTGGGGGGGGGGGGGAGTAGAGAGCTCTATATTATTTCCTACTAGAAAGGTTACGACTGTACCTAAAGTAATCATCTTTAGTGCAGGCATAACCGATGCACTATTAGCCTCCTATAATACCAAGCTGTTATCCTATTTTTTTAAATAAATGTGTTTGTACAGTTTTATTGAGTACCTATCATGTACGTTAAAAATCAAAACTCTAACAAGTATCAATCGTTTCCCATTTTCTGTGAGCTTACCGAACGGATTTCTTCTATACATTTGATCAGATTTTTTATCTATTTTGATCAAGAGTAAGAAGGTGAAAGTCGACCAATTGAATATCACTGAATTAACGAATCAATGGTAGCTTGGTTTTCTACAGTTTGAAGTTCGAGTTTACTGCGACATTGAATCAATCATCAGCACACATGGCTTCTCATCTACTCAATAACCGCCGTACATATGGTATCGGCTAAAAAATTGCCACCCTGTGAACAAAAGCAGTAAATTAGCATTAGAGCATCCATGTAAAATTCTTGAAAGGAAGGGGGTGAAATTGTTTATTAGATCCAGCAATTGCGTCCTTTCTTGAAAGGGGTGGGGCTAATTGTTGAGTAGATCCCAGTATTTTCATACGCTTAACCGTTGGTTTAGTTGTGTATCGGAATGCCAATTGTTTCATAGGCTCCATAGGGAGGAGGTGTATTTGACAAACTACCGGCTTCTTCCTGTTACCAGGATGCAGTCAGTGGAAAAGCTGAGGGATACCCCCCCACTTGCGGATTTGTACAAGTATTCATTTTTCACATGGTCCGATTGTCATGAAAGATGACATGCAGACTAATTAGGCCAGACATATTTGGTCAACACATTTAACCCTGTAAAATTACTCGTTACACCATAAAATTGATACTGAAGCGAGTTTGGGGAAAAAGGAAGAGATAGAGCCAGGCTGAGCTACAATTAAGCTCCTGCTGTTAAGCTCCTTCTTAGATAAGCTAAATTTCTCGAGGTAGCAATCCAATTACTTTAACGATAGAATAATCTCTGTGCTTATCATTGAGCGGCCTGGACGCGATTCATTGGCTGCGGATCCTTCGTATATCAT